AGGCGACACTGTTATGACGCGTTCCGGTCTGGAGCATCTGTCTCTCCGTGCCCTCGCGCCGCCATCCCCACGGACACATCACTGTGCAATCAACATCGGCTATCGATTGTGTCGATTCACTGCATTCATTAAGTACTAACCATGGTGGCACGCATGGTTGATTCCATTGAGCACCTGCCACTGTATTGCTGGCAACCTACTGGCCGTCGGTCCAAGTGGGTTTGCTGGGCCAACATGCTTGTTTGACGGAGTTGGTCCCTTCTCAGAAGCGGGACCCAGCCGCGCCTTACCTGGGAAAGGCCTCTTCCATCGCTTATACCGGACCACCCGGCTCGCGATCAATTGGCGATCCGTCGTCTGGCGCGAGTCCCCCCGTAGCTCATGGATTACAACGCGGCGGTTGCTGGCTCCCGCTACGCGTCACAATCCAGCCGAGGGGAGCTGCAGGGGGCCTTGGCAGCATTGACACACCCGTTTCTCCGGCCCAACAACATGTGGGTGTGGCGATTTCTGCCGGGTGTCGTTGCCGGGTTCATTCTGAAGGCGTTGGTGGACACCCACAGAAGCAAGAAAAGGCCGAAGGTGGGCCGCGGAAGCTCCTTGCGGATCCTGGGGATTGAGAAAGACTTTTGCTTGTAAATGCGCATTCCTTGTTGGACTGATGTCACTGATGGAACTAGGAAGGCGCATCAAAACTTGGTGCCCTGATAGAGTGGGTGGAAGTGATTGGAAAACTGCTGCTCCTGAGGCCATTGCCCCATCGGCGGCTGACATCAATAGCTTTCGTTGTCCAGTTGGACGACAGCTTGGAAGTTGTGAACCAAACGAAATTGGGATTGAAAGAAAGTTTCACCCTTTCGTGTGACAGCTGCTTCATCCAGCTGGGGCTGTAGACCTTTGTTCACATCTCAAGGCGACCCTGGCTTGAATCAGAATGTCAAGTGTTTTGTGCAGAACTATGATCACGGGAGACCGGACAAACAGGTGCTGGATCCTGCTGCACCCAATGTTGCATTTTGGGTTCAGGAGCTTTGCCTGTCTTGCAAACAATGGTAATTGCTGTTGACACTTTGAAATGTCTGCAGCCTGCTCAACCTCCAGAGGGTTTTCCACAAAGTAGACTGCAGTCAACTGCCAGAATTTTGTGTCAGATCAGACAGTGGTTTCATAAAGGCATTGAATGCCTCACTCTCAGGCTCCTACCTGGCCTTCAACAACCAAATTTTCATTGAATTCAGCACAGGAGACTCAGCATGCATCTGCAGAGATGGAGATGCCCTTGTTCCTGTAAAGTGAGCTATTGTCGCAAAACCTACTTTCAGCAAATGCTGACAGCTCATGCTGTGAGCATATGGCCATCGCCAAAAACCAACCAGTGGTGGTGTCCACTAATTCCATTCTTCCTGCAGGGGACCATCTATGCTTGGAACACATGCAATTTCCTGTTTGCGCAGGAGCATTGTGACCAAAACTTCAACCATTTACACATGTGCTTGTCTCACATACGTCGATCAGATCATGCATGGCTCTGAACACCTTCAAGACTTGCCAATACCCTTGATCAGAGCTGATGTACTTCACATGTAACCAAATATAAATCCAGCCAGTCCCAGTTAGGGGATATCAGCCAAGCCACCTTGCCGTGTAACAAATCCCAGTGTAAACACCCCCCCAGCGTTTGGCAGCCTATTGAAGTCCGTTTAATATGCTGCCAAACCTCATAAAGGTCGCAGTTGAAGATGTGAAGAATGAGGGGTCGTTCAGGGAATGACAGTCTGTGGCTGGCTCTTGGTGGGGTGATCAAAGATGGCGCTGTGGAATTTCTATCGAGTTTTGGAAGCTTGTCAATGTAGCTGCCAGCATGGTTCTGAGTTTTGTCTTGCCTGTGTTCTACAACCCTCTGTGCCTTTGACAGTCTGCAGCGGATGAAGAAGTTTTGGACGGTGCTGCACCACAGCAAGTGGCCCCTGGATCTGAGGTCAAACTGGTGGGTTACTTGAATGGGGCCAGCTGTGTGCCCATGATGGTGTGCCCATGATGGTGTACTGATGCGAAATGCCCGTAATTCCTTCTCCCTCAATTACAAGAAATGCTTTGAACTGTCCAAGAATTGTAGGGCCAAAAGGCAGCGGTGTATGAAAGCAACAACATTGCATCCGTTGTGCATCCAGTGGCTGTTGGACATGCATCTCCCAAGGAGTGACAGGGTAGATGCATTGCATCGATTCTGTATGGTTGTCTGCAAGTGAAGACCACACAGCTGACTCTGGTGGTAAGTGGCTCATGGGTAAGGCCCCTACTTATCAGTCCAACCTGTCCATCTGGCAGGTGATGCTGGTGAACGACGAGCTGAAGATGACGAAAGGAAAAATCGGTGAGACAACATTCCAAGGCTGTACCCACATGGAAAGACTTATTTGTGTGCCCAGTTCCTTTTGCTCATGTTCTCCACAGCTCTGCTCAGCGGTGTTAATTCCAGTGTCTTGAGTGGGAAGACTGGAAGACTCAGACTGTGGGATCTCTGCAGCTGTGGGATCTGTATGGATCTGAGACTGTGGGATCTCTATGGATGCGTAAGTGGATTCATAGTGTGAACTTCGTTGTCTGCAAAGATGATTCCTTGTGAATGGCATAGCTGTTGATCATTGTTTGTTAGAATGCCCTCAAGTGCTGCGAACAAATCACATGACATGGCACCAGATGTTCAGTTTATGTGTGCTGAAGCAGGAGCTGTGATGGTAAGCCATTTGTTATGTGGCATTATTTCAGCAACTTAAATTTGCGTATGAAGGTGGCCAAGTCAGATCGGTATCGCAGCCAGAGGATTGAAGCCAGTACTGTTGAGCACTGTTAGTACCAAATTGGTACTATCTCTCCCATTCTAGTCCAATCAGTCCATGTGCTGAACAGAAAATCCACAGATCCGCGAATGCACATGCTCACCAGAAAGTATGCAGAATCGTTTTTGTTGGGATGTTGAGCTTCTCCGCAGTACATTTACTGCGCGATGGCAGAGTTCGATGCGAATATTGTTTTGCTGCACAATGACTCACTGGATGCAACAAAGCAGGAAAAGGATTTGCTATATATATGCCTCTACATTGCTGTAAATGGCTTATGCGTATGTGGAAAGCGTCAGTCCCTTTCCTCCAGCCAGGCTTGTCAATGTGGCTCTGCACTACTCAGCTTACGAATTTCAAAATGCCATTGCAGGTCGGCAGACTTTAGCATGGCCACGAACTGATTTGACCCACTCTGATGTGCTCACTGTTGGAATTGTAGCTGTGGACGCAGATGCCTTGCTTCCACAGCTTTTGCATGTCTGGCAATATTTGTGTCAGCATAAAATATTTTTCTATTTGCATGGTACCACTCATGTGACAATTGGTGGCCATTCTTCTTTGCATCAGCTGCTCAATGTGGACATGCGGTTTCTATTGCCATGAAACGGCTGATGACGTCACAGCAAGGGTTGCTCAGGAGCTGGGAACAGTGTGGCCAACCGAAAATCGCACTGCGAGTGGCGACCAGAGTGGAGATGGTGAGTGGATCCAGAAGACCCAAGCAGTTGCATGTTTCCAATTGCCCTGAATCTAAACCGCCTGACAGGGCGCTGGAGGATGAGTTCAGGATCCTGAATGCTGCAGACGTTATGTGAGCTCCAATTTCGAGCATAGTCGCGCTTCTTTACTAACCAAGGCTTGCTGTGAAATCCTGCTGTTTGTTTTCCCTGCGTTTGAGGTTGTTTTGTATTTGCTTTATGAAATCTGTGAGCCATTCTTTACTTCTTTGATGTTCTATTATGTATGCCTGACAATCGCCACGGGCTTGGCGTCTGGGCAGTTGGCGGCACTGGATGTCCATTGTGATTGTGTTGGTGTTTGTGTACCAGGATGCCCTTGCATCCCAGGCGGAGGCCAAGCGCCTCATGGTGAGCCGCGTGGTGGACGCTGGAAGGACACAAATACCAGCTGGATCACACACCGTTGTGGCGATTGGCCCAGGAGAAAACGGTCGAATTGACCAACTGACGTCGCACCTAAGGCTGCTGTGAAATTTGACGCCGCAGCATCATGACAGCAATCAGCCAGCTGCGCATGAATGCACCCTGAGTAGAACGTGCAGCTGAAATTTGGTGTTGCACCACAGAACATGCATCAGCCACGTTCTGGCGCTGCCAACGTCATGAGTCGATTGGTATCTGAGGAATTCCTGGTTTTAGAGATGTGGCAAACGAAGCACCTGACTGAATGCAGGTGCTGCATGAGCAATGAGTGTGGATGATGATAGATGCAGGCTGGCGCGAATGGAATTGCCGTATGGAAGTGTCCTGTCTTTGCACACCACCATCAGCATGTTCGTGTTTCACTTCGATTGCGTTGGTGGTCGGACCTCCCAGTGCATCAGATGCAGGTGCTGGCATGCGTTCGGAGAGCAGTATGTATGACGTTGTATGGTGAATCGAAAATCATGGGATTACTGTCTTAGAGTGTTTTTAGCAGCATTCTTTAATGATCGCAGGGCCGTTGCTGGTTCTAAGAAACACATCTTCTCATTCCTTGGCTGATCACCCCCATGATCTTGTGTTGCAGTTTCCTGTGTACTCTAAGCAAATTGACCAGTGTGCAGTGCTGTACGCGATGATGCGCGTTGAGGACATGAGCTCACTGAAGTGAGGCAAGGGCATTGTCAAGCGGATCAGTTCATGTGGTCGGATTCCTCCCGTCCAATTCTTGGGTTCTATTGTCCGCCCTTCGATGCTTGTAAATATGTAAGTATGTGTCGCAAATGATCTTGTAGAACATCATGTCTCAGGATGCAATGTCCCCGCTGCGTGTCATTCTGTGGAACTGCCTAAATGCAGTCACACTGTGCAGAAGGGCCTGTACAATTGAAAAATCTTTTCACCACCGAATGTGGACAAAAGTGCACAGCGCCCACGTCCAGTGGTGTCAGGGACGACGACGAAACATCGCTGGGTGTCCTTGGAGACCAGCATGTCAGGTGCGCTTCATCAGGCGCTGCACTGCCTCGCCCACTCGTTCAATCTCCCATTCCTCATTGTAGTAGTGCACGGAGGCGCGGACGACATCCCGTAAGCCCCTCTTCTCGAAATCCAGCCTCGACGAATCGATGCCAGAAACAGAGACGCTGATGCGCTCCGCCTTCAGCGCTGCTGCGACTTCTGCGGCATCGACGCCTTCCACATCGAAGCTGACAATTCCGCACAGGTTGGGCCCGACATCCCGAGTCTGCACCCCACGGATTTCGCCCAGCCTGCTTCTCAGCAGACCGGCCAGATGCCGTATTCTGTGCCACATCGCCTCCAGCCCGACATCCAAGGCATATTTCACGGCCACTCCCAGGCCCACCTTCGCAGCCACGCTCATTTCGAATTGCTCGCACCTTCGAGCGTCGCTTCTCATCTTGTACCCTTCCCTAGATGTCCACTGCGCGCTCCGCACGTCCAAAGCACAGGGTTCAAATCCTGCGTCCAGGGCAGACTTTGCGACAAACAGAAATCCCGCACCGCGAGGACCCCGCAGGTATTTCCTGCTTGTTCCGGACAAGAAGGTGCAATTCAGGCGCCTGGCGTCCACTGGAAGCTGCCCCACGCTTTGGCAGGCATCCAGAAGGAAGGGCACACCGTATTGACTCGCCAGCCTCCCAACACCTTCGGCATCGTACACCTGAAGGCAGTCACATTAACACGGCGTCAGAGTCGCCATTGTGGACACCATGCAGTGGTTGCATCCGCACTTTTACAACCAACCAATCGCTGCTGTATGACCAAAGGAGAGTTTAAGAAGCCGGAAGTCCCTTGTGAGCCCCCAGGGAAAGGCATACGCTGATGAAACCACGGCCTGGTAACAAAGTATGAGCATACAAAACCAAGAATAAACGGCTACGATTTGTGGATGGATCGAAGACAAAAAGCTGAAAAGGAAATCGAGGAGTGTTCGATGCCCCTTTTCTGCAGAGAAGAATCAGCCGCTGTACTGAAAGAGGGGCTGTGACATCTGGAATCTCTTACCCTGCCCGAGCTCGTTGGAATGTGGGAGATGCTGATAAGCTTCGGAGGAGCAGGGCCGCCCGTCAGCAGCTCTTCCAAATTCTCCAGTGATATGTCACCGGACGGCTCTTCGCAAACGACGTCAATTGAGATACCCCGACGTTTCGCCAGCTGGAGGTAGTTGATAAAGTTGCTTCCGTACTCAGCCACTGACGTCAGGATTCGATCGCCCGGCTGGAAGTCCATTCCGAAGACAACCTACGTGCGATACTGACAAGGCACCCGGGAGTGAACATCACGACATCTCAACAGCACAAAAGCTGGTGGTCAGTGTGTCCGCAGTGCTTTAATTGATCTCAGAAGCGAGTGTCGTCCGCTCAATCTGATATTCCTTTGGTGAGCAACCGCACACAGCGACACACACAACGGATGCCTGCCTAGCTGCAGGCCCGTTTCACAATGCGGTGCTGGGACAAGGACTTCTGTGCAGCCACTGCACGGTGCTCGGCATGTGTCGCTGACCGGCTCCTCCAATCACCGTTCATCGCGTTCAAGCATTCTCTTCCACGTGTCGTTCGCATCATCGCATTTGCATGCTGGACTGTTTCAGGGACGACTTCCCTCGACGACCTCCTTGAGAACGCATTCACTGCATCCGACAGGAAACGGTGCACAATCACATCCACATCCGCACCGTGCATCGCACATGAAGGCATTTCTGACGCACTGGGGGCTGGCCCACCTGCTGCCACGCGCTGGTCGCGCTCTGCACCACGGCGATCTCCTCCTCGTCGCAATTCAGCAGCCTCGCCAACGCACCGTAGGGGCGCTCCACGGCGTCCCTCTCCGCCTCCTCGGCTGCGTAGCCCCCCACCAGAGACTCCAGGCGGTTGAACCGCTCCACGCCTTCCACCACTGGCGAAGGCGGAAGGGCGCTCCCGGCGTTGTTCAGATGCACCACGTCGGCGCAGCCGGGCGTGTCGGCCCGCAGCTGCGCGACATCGAGATCGCCGGGGCCGGCGGCCCCCGCACTGGCGACTGGCGCCAACTTCGGAAGAGACGTCGAGCGAATGCGGGGAGAATCGCCAACCCCTTGAGGGGCCCGTTCGAAGGTGTCTTGGGCGAACAACGGCCGACCTGCGCGGCGGGTTTGAGAACCTGCAAATGGGCGGACAGACATATTGGCGCCTGATCCCCGCGTCCGAACGCCGCTTCAGGGGAGATTGTCGCGCCACGGTCGCTTTGAAGCCTGGCTCGGAACCCCACTGCGCAGGCGCGTTGCGCGGCGGCCTTCAGGACTGTTTCTGGGAGGGTGTCGGCCCAAAGGCGGCGACGCGCTCCCCTGGGCGCAGTCCGACTGGCCCCCATACTTAACCGTGGGCGCCTGCCCTGCGCAACCCGAAATCAAGCACTCACCGGCTAATGTTGGCTAATTGGCAACGGCAAATGGCCCAAGACGAGGATCGGCGCGATGAGCTGTGGGGTGTCAGCGTATCTGAACCGTATTCCAGGTCCCACAAAATCTGTTGTTGGTGTCGGCCGTGGTGGTTGTGCACGCCCAGCAGGCCAAGCCCGTGGGAACGAGCGCTGATGGACAAGGTACCCGGCTGCCCACCCGCCAAGTGATGCCGCTCTACATCCCAAGGCTTCAGCGCGCTGTGTCCAACTACGTCCACCAGCCCTCATCCAGGGACGCCAGCGAGGCCCGCAGGGTCATTCAGGTCAGAGAGGTTGCCGGCTTCCTATGCACTTCCATGCTCAGGAAGGTCTTCCTTTCCCTCCCATCTCTTGTCTGTTTGGTCGCATCTTTTCATGGGAGCTTTTGTAGTGAGAACCTGCTCTGCCTGCGTCGCAGGAGTACCTAGCCGATCCCCGGACCTGCAACAGTGTGTATGAGATACTCCTTGATTACGCAACGAAGGAAAGATTCAGGTAGAGTATCAGCGGCGACAGCTGGCTCGTCGGAGTCCAAACTCGGAAATCGGTGCAATCAAAGCCGAACAAATGCTGGTTGGTCCGCGGGCCTGTCCCTCGGCGGAGTAATCTGTGATTTTGCGCTGCCCCTCGCCCATGTCACACAACCTGACCCGACGGCCGACTACGAGAGTCGCAGAGAGGGGGAAAGGGGACACCATTTTTGGTGGCGCCCTGATCAGCTGATCTCTTGTCTGCACTGTGCAGCGACAACGCCGTCGGCAAAGTGACTTTGCTGCTCAGGCAGTACATCAACAGGTAAGCACGATCGCGTGTCCAGGCCTTCCAGGCGGCCTGTTGGAACAGCGACCAGCGCTAAAGCCCCTTCCGATGGCCCTTCGTTGCTCCATTGATGTGCTGCAGGCCAGGAACATTGTGGCGCTGAGATGGAAGGTCACGAGATCATACATCCATTGTGTGGGTGCCTGTTTCATTGACCTGGCATGGGCATTCCGTGGGTCAGATGCTAGTTGATCCCCCGTTTGCGTTGGAGTGGCTTGTGCATTTTAGCCCTGCCACATGAGATGTGATTGCTGGTGGGTGCCATCGTTGGGGACCAACGGGATGCAAACAACCTGAACTGCTGTACACTGCTACCAGGTTGCACGATTTCAGAGTTGTGCGTACGTGCAGGTTCCATCCATCGACTGACACCCTCCATGCTATCGGAAATTTCTGCAACTCAGCAAGCACCTGTTTGGGGAAGACTGCTCCAGGTAGTGCTTGGCATTTTTTGTGGCTACCTGGGGTGCTCTTGTGGCCATCGGCTGTCTGGCTGTGGGTTGGCAGTACTGGCTTCCAAGCTGGTGCCAACATGCCATGAGTGCCACAAAAGGGAAACTTTCTTCTGTGTGGAAGGACGTAGCTATATTCATTGCAGCCTGTCTGTGAGTGCCACATCAGCAGCTGGCTCAGAAGCAGTGCCAGGCATTGCTTCTAGTCTGAATGTGGGTTCAGCTACATGGATTACTGCCCACTGTTTGGCACAAACGGCTGTGATGCAACAGTCAGCATGGTTTTTATTCCATGGCTGGATGGGTGAGCTTGTTGTGTGCTTGTTGTGTCGTGCAGACTTGCAGAAGAGGCTTGCATATTTGCTGGTACTTGTGGAACGATTGAGCAGGCAGTCTCCCAGCCCTACAACACAGCCTTGGCCATCCATCCTGCTGGGGTGAGGGAACCTAGGGCACTGTTTGCGTCAACAGTGCCCCTCGAAACAACTACCAACCTGCTTTGTTGACAGTTGCGAGGGGGCGCAACAAACCAGATGGGTCCATGATTGCTCACAACCAGGGTCCCTGTACTTCTGGACTGCAAGAACACATTACTACACTGTGCAGGCACGATCCTCTGAAATACTGTAATTGGACAATTGTTTGCCAGTAACCACCTGATTAAGAATCCACTTGTCTTTGACAGCAAAATGGTCTGTGAACAGTGGTCAGATCCACAAACGATGGCACAGCAGCCTGATGGGCAAGAAACAGTCATCCACAGCACAATTGCTTTGCGTGTTACAGCCTGGTGCACCACATGCATGTGGGCTTTATAATCTGCAGCTAAGGTCCCTTTTTGATCCATTAAACCCTTATTTGCTCTCCAATGCTGTTTTTAGAATAAAGCGTTGAGTGTTGTGCCCTGTGGTTGATTGGTGCTGCTGCTGAATAGCCTGTGAATTCACCTTAGTTTTTGTTTCACAATTTCCATAGTACATTTATTCCTGGCACCAGGGCATGAGTGCAGTGAGAAAAGCATGTGGTGTTACCTTGCAGAACTGATATGTGCCTTTCTTTTGTGTAGCCCCCAACTCTTGCCTTCCCTTGCGGGTGGTCCATCAACACCACCAGTTGTTGAACCAGTGAAAGAAAGTGAGCCAGCCAAAGATGCACAGGCCCATGGGATCTTTGGACTGTCTACCCGCACACACATTCTCCTGGACAGCAACGCGGGTAGTGTCGTTGAAGAGTTGAAGCTCCAGCCCAGGCACAGTGCACCAGAGAAGATTTCCTTTTGCAACATCGATGACAAACTCCTAGGCCTTCAAGTGAGTTATACTTTCACAGATGGACGCTGCTTTTAATATGGCCTTGCTGGGTTTGCATTATTGTTTACTGCTCAGAAGAACGCGCACCTTCATTTTGGTTCTGTGGCAATCCAACAGTGTAAACTCTGGCCAGCATGACTCATGCAGCGGCGGTGGCATTGTCTGTACCATTTTGGGAGCTGCACCTGCATGCAAGAAATAATTTATTTCGTGGGCGTTGTGATGTTGGCATTTACAGGAGGCAATGTGTTGGAGAGCATTTGCTGTGTGTGCATCTCTTGAACAAAGAGAATGATTTGGAAATGAATTGAAGTAGCCTTTGGATGAAGTGACAGTGGCGTGGGGATTTGAATTTCAAAGGCAACTCTTCATGTCATGAATGATTGGGATGGCGCTCGATCCCCCTGGGGCAGACGTGTACCATTCGTCCAGAACACAGTGCCCTGATGCAAGCCACCGTATGTCACCAGAAGAAAGAGCAGGACTCCCAAGTCCACTCACCAGCCAGACAGCGACTGTGTGAGGTTGTGTTTTTGAGCTGTCTGTTCATCAGCTGCTGCCTTCTTTTCAATTCTTGGTTGTAGTGATTGTCCACAGGAGAGCAGCTCTCCAACAACTTGTCATCAGCATGATGCATAAATTAGCAGGTGCAGGAGGGGGAAGGGGCCGATCATGTTTTGCCGCAGTGATAGGAAGCTGAATGCCAGTTCATGTGCTGCGGAACCAGAGTACTGGTGCTTTGCATCAGCAGCCTCCTGCACAGGAGTGGTTGCTGAGCAGCTATGATGACAGAACAGGAGAAGCCCCAGGCGTGTTTCCCCAAGAGCTGCTGCGCTTCAGACCGCCAATGGTCTGGATGCAAGGTGACTCCAGTGCTTTAATTCTATGGCACTTTGCATGCCTGCATTACCTCATCATCACTATTTTTATGGTTCCTGATCACCACACTTCTGTGCCTCCACTACAATGCAACATAGTGCCATCATAAAGGCATACATAGTTTTCGGATGGCATTGAGGATCATGCACATGTGCTCCTTGCTTGCCTGCACTTGCAGCGGCCCACAACAAATCCCATCGACTGGTGTATTGCAACTCAGTATCATTGTGCTGTGGCTGGTTGTAACCCTGGTCCACAAAAGTCTCTGGGCTCTGGTGACGTCTATGCTCAAGCAAGAGGAGGACACACAAGCAGCGGGAACCCCATGGGGGCAACAAAACTGGGGCTTTGTACGATTGCGGCGTATACTTTGACCACCATCTGTGGGCGCTGCAGATGGGTGGTGAGTAGCAGTTTCAAGGAGGGGGTGGGGTGGGTGGGGTTGGGTTGGGGGGTATTTTCTCATCGTCAAAGCATAAGGGGTAAAATGCTATGGCTGCAATGTGATGATTAGAATGTTCTTGGCCATTAGCAGCACACGACAGGATCATCATTGAAATTATTCTCTTGTGCTGCAGGCACAGGAATATCAGAGAAGGAGAATGGGTGGCTTGCTGTTCAAGGTGAGCTCTTTACCTCGAATCTTTGTATGGCAGAATGAGGATAACCAAGAACTGTGTTTTCTATTTGTGAACTGCTTGCCAATACAAAGGTGCTGGAGGTTCAGTTGCATGCATTGGTTCCATTCATCGCCATACTGGTGGATTGCTGTGCCCAGGTGGCAGACACTGTAAGTTTGTGTGATTGTGTTAATTCCATGTATTTTCCTCTTGCAGAAAGCATGGCCCTCTAAACAAGGGAAGATGGCCATCTCAGCAGCAATTTGGTGTAGATGGCGCATGCAGCAGCACAACCATGCCTGCTGTGTTCAACTCTGGTCCTCATTGATGTGCTGCCACTGTGAGACTCAATTTTGTTGTCTTGGTATTTCGCACTTGCACTACCTTTCAGCGCATTTCGTCTACTGCATTACATTAAGAGAATGCTTCTCAGTTTGATGGTCCAGTTGTTTCCTTCTGGGGTGTGCAGAAGTACCTGCTGTGCTGAAAGCCGAGCACTTGTGGAGCGTGATCGCATCTCAAAAGGCACAGGTGAGTGAGGATGACATGCACCTACGGATGTGTGCCCACTTGTTTCTAAGAGTCTAATCTGGCAATTTGTTGGACATACAATATTTTGCAGCTTGGGCCAGAGCCAGCCTGTGCTCTGATGGGAACTGTTTGTCGTGCCATGGGAACTGTTTGTTGTCATGGTGTCCCAGGACTGAGCGAGGGAGAATTCTTCTGAAAGTAGCGGCGCATGCTGGACTGCTATTGGATTGAAGTGAAATGCGATTCAGTGCTTGACATGCACTTGCTTGAACTGCAGGAGGACGTTGAGATGCAGGAGTTGGGGAGTTTGTATGGAGCTGGGCCACTGTTCCAATACAAGAACTATCTGGAACAGGATCCCCTCCAGATAAGCAGCGATGTATTGGCTGCCATTGTGGAATCTGTTTGTGGGACAAAAGCTGCTGGAGCTGAAGGAGTGCAAGGGGCTGGGAGTGTATGGGGGACAAGTACAATTGATCTCTGGGAGGAGCCTGGGGGAGCGAAATCCACAGGAGAGGTAACCTGTTTAAATTGTCCCCTCGCAGAGTGGAAACCCGTTCAGACGGGCCCAACCAACAATGCTGAATCATGATGAGCCATTTTCTGTGTCCCTGCCACCACAGGCTCGTTCACCCATCTACAGAGGTCAACTTATGTTTATTCCATCCTGAGTGATTGACTGTGGCACATTTAGGGTGGTGCATAAATCGGCTACTGGTGGACAGGGGACTTGATGGGTGCCACAACAAGGCCTTTGCTTTGTTATCAGCTCTGCAAAGAGGGATAGGTGAGCCTGCTGAGACATGACTGGCCTTTGTGTTGCTCCAGGTTGGTGGCACCGTTCTCATAAAGCTCATCATAGACATGTTCATTGCGATGGGGGCACAAGTGTCCTACCCACTTGTGTTGCGCATGCTGCAAGACACCCTCAGTGACGAAGATCCCAGAGTGCGGTCCCATTCGTTTGACACAGTCTACAACCTGTCCATCCACAGCGAGTTGATGCTGGCATACAAGGAGGAGACTATACGAGAGGAGGCCGAGGTTCCAGTAGGCGATGGCAGCCCTGCGCTGAGCAATACCAGCAGGAGACCACCCTCGCTCTTTGCCAGCGCAAGCCCAGCGCCGAGCATGAAGTCTGGTCGAGGGTCTGCTGACCGCATGGGGTATCACATGGCAGAGTTGGGATCTGATTACCAGACCGGCAAGGAGGCTGCAAGTGCAGAATCTGACGAGTCTGAAAGGAGGGTAAGAACAAGTCACCATGGAACCGCACCGCAGGTGCAGGTGTATTGTGTTGTTTATTGTACAGTTTGCCTTGCACACAGGCAGGACTGCTAATGGATAGCAGCTCAGCTGCCTTGTTTGCTTGATTTGGCACATCCCTGCGAGGAGGAACACATAGCATGTTTTACTGATAGGCTTTTGGTGTCTTCCTAGAAATGCTGTTTCCTTAGCATGGCCACCACATTGGAACCATGGTGGCCTGGAGCATTGCACACTTCTGGTTCTGAATGTATTCCTGTTGAATCTGCTAGTATACTATATGTCACATATTCAACAGCAAGTTTTCCCAACATCTGCAAGCTGACAGAGGCTGACATGTTTTCCTATTGTGGTGTGTGGTGTTGACACATGACTTGGCTTACTCCTCAGGTTTGTGATCACACTAAAATTATCATTGGCAGAATGTCCCTGCATCCTCAGTTCTCTCATCCAAAGATTCACCTACAGCTGCATTTGTGCTACACTACATTCTATGTTCTGGTTGACGCCTGTTAAGTTGAATCCACATGGTGCCCAAAGGTGCAATTGCGATGCTGTGCATGTCCATTTGGATCTGTTGCAGACACTATAACTTTGCGAAGCAGATGACAGCGCTATTTCCAGCATTATCCATGCTCATGTGCATGGTTGCTGAGTGCACTGTTCTGTTCTGCCAGGTGATGCGCAACATGGACTGGTGGCTGAGAACACTGCTCTTCGATTTGCTGATAATTATAACACAGGTGCGCCTTGAATGCATGATTGCAGTGTGCTGACAGACTGCCAAAGAAATATCTGTTCCATTGTGTTCACTGCATTCTCGTTTCAAGTGTACCCACAAGCACCATGTTGTAGTGTGTTGGTGACCATCGATATGTGGATCGCCTCTGCAAAGTGTCTTTGGCTGGGTGAGCCTCTGGAGTTGTGTGGATTGATTAATAGCTGCATGTGTGCTTTGGGCATCAGAGTGTGTATATTCCAGGATGTGATATTGAAATGTGATCAACGTGCATGGCAGTGCCTGTCACTGTTTTGTTACAGTTGTGGTTAGTTGGTATTTGGTGCTGTTGAATAGGAAAAAGCGCAACTGTGTTCACTTGGCTCAATCGTTCAAGATTGTTGATCAACAGGTGTCAGGTACTTTTGGATGTTTCCAGTGCATTGTTCTCAAAAAGTCACAGCTGCTGGCGTGTTGATTTGCTTGATTTGATTGCTGAGCTGGATTGCAGTATGGTCATTTGGGTAGAAGCTGATAACACCTGCAAAATCCTTATAGTCGGATTCATGCTGGCACCGGCTGATATTTTGTTGGCAGTTGAAGCACATGAAACGGCAAACTTAAGGTGTCAGTTGAGGTTTTGCCAGACACAGGAAATGCCAAATTGGACAGTCATGCTCCTTGTGAGGGCTAGGTACCCATGAAAAGGAGACACACAGAATAGTACCACTACTGGGCAAGGTTACACTGAAAATTATTGACTCCATGTTGGTTGATGTGTCATTCGCAGCTGGACGAGAGCAGTGAACTTGTTTGGCTGTCAGCTGTGGGCTGCCTGTTGCATTTCGTCACAACGTCGGGGCAGATTCTGGCTGACAGGGTGGATAGGCTGCCATTGACAGTGCTCTCCAGGATGCTAAGGAAATGTCTCCAGTTCCACTGGTGAGGCTACTGTTTCGTTGTTGCATTGCTGACATCTTGGCAGTTACTTGACGGTAGCCTTGTGCCTGTTGGTTCATGGGCAATATGTGTGAAGTGTGTGGACCAGTGTGAGGTGCCAAAATTTGGTTCCTGGTGTCTGTGCTGGCTGTGATGTGCCTGCACAGGGCTAAGTATCCTTATCTAGTTAGGGACTATTTCCGATTGTAGATCATCATCCTCTCTCTGTTGATGTGCTGAAACGTGGTTGATGCATGTCAACACCAGATAAGGTGTATTGAACTGTAGAGCAGGGAGTAGACAGATAAGGACAGAATGAACAGATAAGAACAGCATGCGTCTTGGAAGTATCACCTCAGGTGGAGATTGTGCGCACTATACAGCACCATGACGCAAGTTGGCTTCATACCTTGCCTTTTAGATTCAGGGATGGCAAGTATTTCACACAGAAGCAATGGCAGTGGCTGAGAGGTGGTGTTTGGGAGGTGCGTTTCATGCTCTGAGTAGTCACCTATTTGTCGCTGTCTGTCAGGGCGGAGGAATTGCATGCACATCTGTTGAAGCTTGTAGTCAACATGCTGTATGTTCCATTGAAGCAGCAAACAGGTAGGGAGAGCTGTCAGGTACTGTGCCTGTATTGTCCGGGACTATGCATCTCGGAGGACTCCAATAGAACACACAGGAACCTAGTAGGTGCCACAGAGCTGTGTTGATGCAGTTGTCAAAAGAGCACTGCAACCTGCCAGGTGATTCTCAGCATGTTCCCTGCATGCATTTTAGCTCACCCTTAATGGGGCAACCCATGTTGTTGCTATGGGACCCATATTCTGCAAGTCAGATTTGGCTGCCTGCTGTTAGCTTCTAATCATGCAAGATTTGGCCGCCTGCTGTTAGCTGCTAGTCATGCAACCACAGTGGGAAGGTTCCCTGATGCCATTCAATATCATGAACGGCGCAGGTGCAGGTTTTCAAGCCATTTGGTTTGGCAGGTTGATTGTGCCAGTGCTGATGTGTGTCAAGCAGCAACACTCCTTTGCAACCTCTGGGGAAGCCAGTACTGCCAACAAAGACACCTATAATGTACGCTGCAGTGCCCCTGGTGTGCAAAGAGTTTCTTTGAACTGGGCTACAAGGAAATAGATACAAATTTGTTCCTCGCTCGCTGAGGTTTGTTGAGTGAGGTTCATGGGCACTGCTCTCATGAAGTTGTAAGGAAGGGTTGGAGTTTGTAATTGGTGACCATTTGGCTGTGCAATTTCAGGTATGCTGACCACCGCACAGGTGCGTGCTTCCCCGGTCTTGAGTGAAGCGAGATTGGAGCAATTTGGCGGAGCCGCCGAGCTGATATATCACCTCCGGCACACCAACAGCACGGAAGTGGGCACAAAACTCATCTACACATTGGTGGATCATGCTGCCACCAAAGCAGGTAACCTACAGACAATCCCTTTTTTGCCTTTTCTGCCTTATTGTGAGTGGCTGACTCCTTGAATTTGCCGTACGTGCCATTTTCCCAATAGTCGCATTTGGATCGGAGAGACATCTGGACAGCATTGGTTCACATGTGCTCTATGGCTGTTGTGGGCCAAGCTTGGTCACGCAACATCATAATAGAGTCCATCAGCTGCATGTGCTCTCCTCTGGATAGCGTCAAAGTTGGACCATCAGTTGGCTGGAGCACTCTTACAGCTCAAGACACTTGCTGTGCTTACTATTCTAGTTGCATGTATTATCATATCAATCGATGTGACATTCAAGGAGTGAAACATGCCAGCGCTGTTTGATGTGCTCCAGTTTGATTTTGCTCAGTGAATGCTGCAGGTTATGACAGTGGCACTGTGGGCTCTCTGAGCTCTCTGCTTGCTACATCTGGTGTTCTGGATATGATGCGTTGGACATCTCAACATGCTCAGCCTGGAGTTGCAGACAGGCTCCATCAAGTCTTCCAAAACTGTGTGGTACCTGAGGGTGCTGGGGACACACCCAAGTCGCACCCCCTCCACAACAGGGGCCTCTCGCGCTCGTCCAGAGTCTCCAGTGAGTTTGAAGACCTTATGAGCCTTGGCTCGACACCTGGCCTTGTGATCAAGCCTGACATGGTGGAGGGCTGGCAGCTGATACTGTCAGGCCTGGAGTCCATGCTGTGCGTAATGGATCCTTACTTCGAGAGTGTGCCTAGGAGTTTAGAAATTACCTTCAATGAAGTAAATGGGTGCGGATTCGCCGGAGATGGTGCATGGCAGGAGTTGGAAGCGCTTTTGGCAAGCAAAGTTGCAGCTGAGCGGATGCGTGGAATTGGATGGCTTTCGAAAATCTTGATGATGCAAGTGGGGCGGCCATCGAAGGGAAAGGCTCGAATGCCAGTCAAGGTTTGCTACAATCGCACTCCTGTACCTTCTCCAGCATCCTGTGTTGCTGGGCAGTCTGTATTTACATTGTGCTGCATGCACTGGACTTTGAGTGATGTGTTCGATTTTGTCACTGGCTGTCTTTGTCATATTGTCAGTATAGGTTTTGCTTTCTTGCCACTTACCACTTGTGGTCAACGACTGCGCTTGGTCACTGAACACTGAAGGGATGTTGCAACTGTTGCTGAATACATGATCCGCTTTGATGAATGTACCATGATTCGCTGAACAGTGTTGCAAACAAGAGAACACTTGTCCTGGTTTGTTTCATGAAAGGAATCCAGTCGTTTAGAATTGAAGCTGGTCCTGTTCTCCAAACAGAGATACAAGACACCAATGCTTTTCATGTCTCTGTTGTTTGCAGCCACCCTCTGCATTGAGTTGCACCTTGACTCTGAGTGTGCATTGGCTTATTGCTTCGTTGTGTGCCACACAGTCCCTTCTTCCCTGTGCCCCAGCACCCGGTGAGAGAATCGAGTCCCCCAGGAATGGAGGGTGCATGACAAGCTTAACTAAAGTATTGGCTCAGTGGTTGATTCAACCACAAGAAGGCACGCCGATTGGCAAGGAATTTGCAGACCTGCTGAACCGCATCCTGGCCTACCTAGTGTCACAGCCTCACACAAGGATAGAGAATGAGAATCGAAGAGAAATGAGAATTGAAGAGACGTTGGCCATGTTCATGGGGACTTTGTCAGCGGCCATGGGTTGGCTGGACAGGATTCCCAAAAAGCACAGGTGCGTGACATTGTTACTGAACTTGCCTTTCTGGTCTTATGTGAGCTGGCACAAAAATATGAACTGTGTACGTGGAGACCAACTAAGACTGCCTTTGTTTAGAGGACTGGAATTGACCTTTTGAGGTGTTGATTCGGGCCATCGCTGCTGCTGGATTGACAACACTTTGGGCCATGCCTTAGTGAGGCCTATTGCCAAGCTTGTTGATGCACATTTGTCTGGATTCTGGCCGCAATTCATGCTACAAACATGATATCCTCTTGTAGCATTCAACATCACATGCAATTGACTGTCATTTGGTTTAGAGCTCTGCTGCACAATTAAATCCTGGTGCAACCTGCTCTTCTGGGCAACTTGGACTATGCAAAGCAGGCTCACAGCCAGATTGTGTCATGTTCTTGTCATGCACAAGCTGCGAGACTTTATGTAAACAGTTGCGGTGGCATGTTTGCAATTGGCACTTTCTCTTTGCTGGCCTTACCACCGCAAGTTGCCAAGTGAGAAATATGGGACTGGTTGTGGGTTGTATGGCTCAGCCTTCAACTTTCTAAAACTTGGATAGTTGTCTGCTTGCATGTTATGCAGGTTGGCCCCGTTGATGACAGTGTGCGTGAAGCTGCTCGAGGTCATGTGCACTCCACCAGCAGATCCCAGATCTCCCAAGGACGGCAATCAACTCAGGCAGCCATCTCCGTCGTTAGGGGGCTCCAGGAGAGGGCGAGGGCCTGTGGGAAGCAGTTTCATTCCAGACTCTTTCATGATTGGTACTGTGCCTGTGTACTCAAGACTGCTGGCTGCGCTTCCGATGCCAATTGTGGTACGTTCTGTGTTCATTGGAATGGATGCAATATGCCATAGAAAGTCAGTTGCTGTGATGCACTTTTACCGCCTGTTTGCCTGGTCATGATGTAGTTGCGAGAATGTGGAGTATGCTTGTTGTTGAGCAGCGTTCGTCTGCAACTGGAGGCTGCAATTACTGCCAGAGTTTGATTTCACAGGAAACAGGAATGTGAGGCATGTGTGCTGCTGCAGGAAACCTTGATTCAACACTTGGACAAGTTCTTTCCTGCTTACAGGGAATTCCCTGAGTCTCTGGGCTTCCATGGCCGCCCGGGCCATAGGCCCCAGCCACAGCAGGACGCTGCTGCAGTTGAGCAGTGCACACCCTGGGTTGACAGTGTTGCTGATGTGCGGGCTGTGTTGCTGCTGCTCTCTTTCTTTGCCACGAGCACTGTGCCCGCCAAAAAGGGCGCCGCCAACGGCGAGCAGCTGGTGAGGAGCTTGTGCCTGCAGTACCAGGATGATTTCGATGTGCGTGTGAGCTACGTGGCAAGCAGGTATTTGCTGCAGCACTTTGTCCAGAGGAGGCCGATGCAGTACAGGCAAGCGCTGAGGGGTTTCTTGGGGTATGCACAGCAGATGAATGATGAGGCCCTGATTGTAAACCCCTATCTTCAGGTCAAAAATATCACAGACATGCGACTAGCAGAATTGTGACAAGTGTCAGGGCTGGCGAGTCCTGCTTTCACAGTCGCGTGCCATGGGATCGCTGGGCTGCTCTCATTCTTCTTCTAGTTTGCTGTTGCACAGACAGTTTCACCGCTCACCACGTTTTTCTTTTGACCAAAACCCTTGCCGCCATCGCGATCTGGACCAGTTGGGGAGAGTTGCGACCATCGTGTGGTCCATGGTGGCCATCAACCAGGGGACGTATGGTGGCGCTTGTGGTCTCTTCGTTTTTGTGCAGAAACTGCTTCACCATCCTGGAGACGGCAGACGGGGGTGACAGTCGGGGATGTGGACCTGAGTTACGTCCATGACTTTTTGAGGGTTTGGACGTCGCTGGCTTGTGGCGACGTCCTCAGCACGTGGTTGTAATATATAAGTTTCGTTTGGGGGGACCACTGTGTTTTCGATGCGCGTTGCTGTACTGCAGACATGCTGTATGTGTTGTTATGCTGTTGTGCTGTTGCGATGTTGATCTGTGTTGGTATTGCCCTTGCCATTGCGTACAAAGCGACAGTGGCGATGAGCAACCTGTCGACTTGGGAGTATCTGAAGCTGCCTACACTCACTGAGAATACTGGAGCAGCGATGATGGCTTGGGCCTGACGCGAAGACATCCAATGTGCAGAACGAGGGACATACCGTACTGTGTGCGAGTCCCAGTGATGATAAATCCACTCCAGAAGTCATGTTGTGTTGAAAGCCTTCTCTTTGTGATGTTCAAAAACAGGTATCAAGAACCTCAGATCTCCTGTGCCACTTGGAATGCCTCCTCCCAGCGTCACACAGACGCAAATCTGATTGTTTCTGGTTGTTTTCCCATTTAGAAATGCGCAGATCAGGGCAACCATTCTCATTGTCCTTAGACATGGGTGGCAAGTATGCACGCAAAAACGTGCATCCCTAGTACATGAGTAGCCACCGAACGTCCCATTAAGGGCGACAACGGTGGCTGCTTATGCATCAGCGACGGATTCACAGCGGGGACAGCTGTCCATCTAAATTCCAACAAGCACCTGCCAATGTTGTCAAATTAATCGTGATCTCAGGACTGAGGCAGATGGTTTCCAGAGGGGAAGGGCCAGCTTTTGAACGGGCACTTGCAGCGATGTCCCGGGAGGAGCGAAGAAAACGGTAAGCCGAAGTCGAGTTCTCGCATGCTGCCGCTGAACCACGGGTCGTCCGCGCAGGGGATTGGGGCGGTAGGCATCCAAATACCATTCGAAAAACGCATGCAACGCAGTGCTTCTTTTCCATGAATCATTCGCTTGCAGACAATTGTTAGAATCCTGCACGACAGCCCTTGGGGAACAGTAAGGTGTGGGTATTATCTCTCTCAGAGTACCGGTTGTGTTTCATAGTGTCAATTATGATATGCGTCAGACACTAGGAAAGGCGGCCCAATGCACAAGTTGAAACGCGCTGAATTGTGTCAAATTATGTTGATGTTGCACAGGGAACACGCTGTTACGGGGAACATGTTGTGGAACGTGCATCGCGTGTTGAACAGATGTTCTGATTGGCTAAGGAATACATATTCCCGTGTCCAAAATTTGCGATTGCGTGTTGGCGTTTATGCTTTGACATAATACTACAATTTCACTGTTGACAATTTTGCATCGTAACTGGACAACAATCGAAAACTAGGTGGAAACGTGCAACCTAGAGGAACAACACTGTACCACACATATCGAATACCACAGACACGTTTTGCAGAACATGTTGTTTGATTCTTTGTCCAGACAGCATCTAATGTTTTACGTACTAAACGTTGAAGGGCATTGTACTAAGCCACAAGAAGATTTAGTGGCTCCGTTTGGAACAAAAGCTATGCTGGTTTTCACAGGTTAGGTGGAGGATTCAGTGCAAAAGATGGTTATTCAATTCAATGGGCACAACTTCCTGAGCCAATCAATAGCAAGGCTTTGCGCCAGGCTGTGCAAAAAGCATAACATTTTCGTGAGGCTTCTGTGCCAGCTCTTTGACACATTATGAATGAAACGAACGGATTCAAAACAATGGTGCATTGCATTTGCATTGCATTTCTGCTTGACCAGTCTCCTTCAAACCCCCCCCCCCCGGTGTTCGCCACACGACAATACATTACACTCACACAGTTTGAGACCCGTTCGGCGACCCACTTGAAATGTGCCCTCGCTTCGCATAGTACTTAATGCCACCCTAATGGTGACCCAACCCAGAGTCAGCTCCCCTTCCTCGTACTCCACTCCCACTCCATCCCACAGATAACCGAACTCACTCTGGTAGGTTGGGCCGGCCGGGTGCGAAACAAGATAAAGGGGGGCGCCAAGGGTCGCGCCTAAAATAGCCGCTCCCACTTGCCGCCAAACTTCCCGCCAAACCCAAGGGCCAGCTTGACCGGTCCCCTTGGACCCCTTGGCGCCCCCTCCGCCCAAGGTACAAGGCTCAACTCAACCGCCCTTGGATCCGTCGGGCAGAACTGACCCCGAGTACAGGGGGTGACAGAAACCGGTCGGAGGATGGCCCCAAACTGTCCAAGAGGCGGAACGGCCCGAACTGGCCGTTACGCGCCCTCCCAATCGTCGCCCTTAGCAGAAACTCATTAACAGGATAGTTAATTATATAACACTATTTTTGTTGTGCGACAGGTTTGGGATCGACTGTGTGGACAGCGTTTCGTGGAGGGGATGGCAGGTCGGAGGGGAATACGAAAGGAACCTTATCCTACAGAACGTCACCACGAGCACCGTGGTCCTTACGTACAGTCTTCCAGCAACAAAGTATTTTTCCATGGGATTTCCGGAGCCCATCAAACTTTGCGCAGGGATGAGGTTCACAATGAAGGTGCGCACAATCGGGAACACAGCTGCACTTGGCGTGTACGTCAGCAACTTCATACAAGCGCACAAATACATATGGAAAACGAGGCTGGTAATCAAGAACATGCGAAGTTTTGCCATGATTTTCAATACCGTTACTCATCCTTACTGCCAATTCGCACATCAATCCTGTGGCACTGCGGGCTGTCGAATTATTCCAACGATCAACAATCAGATTGGAGTCTTTGAAACTACGACACACTGCAGTGCTGATGTACTCCGGAGTAGAAGATTGCTGCTCAGATATGCTTCCACAAGAAGAATAGCTGGGCTAACATACAGAACCCATTGGCATCTCGTGGGGCGATTGCGAATCATTGCAATGACTCTGGAATGTCGATTAGGGCTGAGAAGTGTTCAATGCCAAGAACTGTCCGCAGCGCCCTTTTGAATGTTGTTGACAAGGGGGAAACTACAGACCATGATCCCCAAACACACTGTGGAAGCCATGAGAAATTTGGGCGTAGGGCCAGTTGCCGTTCACGAAATTTTGTGCGGACAGGTTACTTTCAGGCCAATCAAGATGGAACCGTACAGCGACTACATAACTTTCTATTGTGGTACGGGATCGTTTTCTATTTCTGTTGTTGCTCTTACGCCAAGGGTTCGTCTTGAGGTAAGGGAATCATCTGCTGTTTCGATGAAGTTAGAATAACACTGTCCTTCACTGCTGTCTAGCGTGCCATTGTATTCTGCGCTGCTAGGCATTGCTCCAAAAGGATTCAGCATATAGAATATATCCGAACACATCCGAACATTTCCGAACGGTTTCCTCGCCGAGCACGCCAATCGAGATGTCCGCACAGAAGCTCCAATGGTTTTGCTTGTTTGAGGAAAATACATGGGATAAAACGGCATAGGCAATTATATTTTACTTGACAAATTTCGGGCCGTTGGTGCAAAATATGTCATTTCCCAATGTCGTGTTTGCACCAGGTTGGTTTGGAAAGTTTGCTGACGAGTAAATGCAGAACGGAAAAGTTTGCTGATCAGTAGATGCAGAACGGAATGTCTTACACTCATTTTGTACATCACCATGCAGGCGACTCAGCGTCTGCATTTCAACTGTCCAAAATACAAAACTCAAAATTGTCCGCGCTGATACAGCTATGTTTGTGGAGCAGTTCCCTCCCACGGTTGATTTCGGCTTTGTTCCAGCTATGGAGACCAAGAGCAGACCATTCCAAATTCACAACACAGGAGATGTTGGGGTAGGACTGAGAAGCGGAACATTTATGCTGATATGTCCTCCATCGCGCCTGCCACTTTAGTGCTGCATGGAAGCACTGGCGATTCACAAAACCATTCTAACGTGACTGTTCCAGAAATTGAAACCAAGTGCACGTTGGGATGGATATTGCAACAGGGTACCTGCTCAGTGCGTGAATATGTGTAGCACGATGCAATAGTCTGATTGGACTTTTGCAGGCCTGCTGAAATAGCTGTGGGGTGGGCTTCTAGACAGTGAAGATGTCACAAACCCTTGAGCAACAGACGCCTAGGATTCTTGACGCCTCGGACATAGTGACTTTCGATTCTCGATCGATTCATGTTGCCTGCATGTCCACTTTTTTGCTTCATTCCATCAAGCGAAGGCATGTGCGATTGTTCCGCAGGTGTCACTTCAGTGGCAAATCAAACCCCCTTTCTCCATTGACCCGACGACAAGCCACATCGTTGCAGGGGATACGAATACTTTCCAAGCATCATTCTGTCCCAACGACGCCTCTGTTTTTATGGCTTCCGCTGTTTGTCACCTTGATGATGGGTCTACGGCAGCGCTGAAGGTATATTGCCCCTTGATGTTACAAGACCGGATATCCACGCGCACTGCACACGTGCGATCCTCTGATTAACCCACCGGTGTAGCGTTGTGCTGTTGGGCAGACTGCGCATATATTGCTGGCGGCTGTGAGGGCATGCAGATGCAGAATGTGCTGTGCCCAAATAGAAATCGTCCTTGAGGCCTGGAGAGTCAGTTGAATGCAAGCGATTTTGACAAACATGTTCAATCACAATAAAATGCTGTCAAATGGACTTGATCTTCTGGGATCAAGTTATGCTCAGCAATCAGTGCATGAAATGATACATCAATAGATGTACGCAGTCGCGCAACAGTTAGTGGACCAT